ATGCCAAATAAGGGATGGATTATTTGTGTGTTTTCCAGGAAAGGGGTGGGCAATTCCCAGAACTGAGGGTTCCTCCCTTTTCATACTGTATATGGTAACTTCCTGACGTTGCCATGGCATTTGTACACTGTCAGGGTGCTGGTTGGAGTGTCTTTTAGCATTCTAATACATTCTAATTAGCATATAATGAGCAGTTAGGAGGACCAGAGGTCATTTTCATCATATCTTGGTTTTGATAGATTTTGGCTGGCTTGTTTACCACAACCTGTTTTATCAGCAAGGTCTTTGTGACCTGTATCTTGTGCTGACCAACGTGATCCTTTAACTTAGAATACCTAACCTCCTGAGAATGCGGCCCTGTAGGTATCAGCCTCATTTTACCCAGCCCCTATTCAAGGTTGAGTTGCTCTGCTTCAAACACATCTGACAAAGTGATCAACCCAACTCTGCCTCCTAAAGTGCTGGAACCACAGGTGTGAGCCACCTGGCCCAACCACAAGTGGACATTTTGATGAAGACATCTCCATCTTATTTGGGGAAGTTAGTAGTAAACACTGAGACACAATGGGAAGATGTTGGTTTTTCTTTCAGATACAGATATCATTTTTAATGTGATTTGCCCTTCTAGGAAAGCTGTGAGATACACAAGGAAAGTATTTTCCTCTTTGGCTGATAAAGATACCTGAAACTTGGTTTAAGTGACTTGCCCAAAGTTTCATAACTCTTAGTAAAAGTCAGAGAATAGACTAGACCTCAGAATTTCTACCTAGCCCAATTTCCATTCTACAGGCCTTTGGTATACTTAGCTTCTTACCCGGATTTATTACCATTTGGGTTGATTTCCTCTTTGAGGACCTTTTGTTTGTGGGAATTTGTTAGAGTTTTAAGGTTTCATGGCTTTTGAGGCATGAAAAAGTCTCAAGTTATTCAAGATAGAATTATCTAGTATCTTATGTGGATTGCACTGAATTCTTGACTTAAAAATCATCCTTGATTTCTGCCTCTGTGATGACTGAGGTTTTGTCAATTTTAGAAATACTACATATGAAATGAATTTTGAGTTAGATTGAGAAGAAAGGATGACTGAGGTATAGAGATAGGTTGTGGGACAGATGCTCTACAGCTTCATTGTCACAGGTTTTTTTCTTTCTTTTTTTCTTTTTTTGAGGCAGTGTCTCCCTTTGTCACCCAGGCTGGAGTGCATCGGCAGGATCATGGCTCACTGAAGCCTAGACCTCCTGAGCTTAGGTGATCCCTCCTGCTATGACCTCCCAAACTGGTGGGATTACAGCTGTGAGTCACCGTGGTGCTAGGCCTGCTTTTTAAATTAAATATACTGAAAGCATCAATGATAACCTCTTATGTCCTGGCCACCCATTATCATTGTATCTCGGAAAACTCATGCTAATTGCATCTTTAATTAAAACTATTTCAGTCATCTTCAGGGTTCTTTTGAAGTACAGAAAAGATTTCATTATTTTGTCTAGAGGCTGAAATAATGGGCATCCTGCAAGGTATGGTTTTCCTTACGTAATGGCTCTCACTGTGGTTGCATTTTTATTTGAAAATGGTAAGTTTTAAAAGAGAAACTACACCTTTCATATTTAAAAGAAGGCATTGACCCATTTTCTCTAGTGATTAGAACCGTGGAAATTAGACTTAATTAGAGTTTTAGTCTTTTGGCTGAAAGGAGACAATTGAATACAGCAACTCAAAGTTACTTGCCTGCCACTGTGGCAATGTTGAGAGATGCAGTTGAGATTCCTGCCTTCACAGAGCAATTGAGGCCAGTGGAAAAGCAATACATTGATTTCATCTCATGTACTCCTGACAAATGAGGCCACCCAGTTTTATTGAAACAATGGTACTAGTTCAGTTATCTGAAATACTCTCTCACTTTTAAGTTCATTCCTATATTTTTTTTAGCCCAAGTTCTCTTAGCAAGTGTAATCAGTGCTGGTTAATGGCTGAGAACCAGCTCTGGGCAGGAAGCACTGATTTGTAGTGTTTGCCAATTTCCTTTGTGTAAATGCTCCCACCATGGCCAGTATGAAGTGACCAATGTAAACTCACTGAAGCTAGTATTTGGAGGAGTTGCACACAGTTGGCTCTCTGGTGTTAACATGTATCAGTCATTGCTTTACACACCAGGGGTGTATCAGTGAATACAGCTGTAAAAAAAAATCCTTGTCTTCATGGAGTGGGGGAGCAGAAATTCATGTAAAAGCAAATCATGTTGCATATTAGGAAGTGAAAATTCTCTGGAAAAAAAAAAAAGAACAGGGTAAGGGGTATTATGTATACTGGAAGGACTTGGGTTGCAGTTTTAAATAGGGTGATCATATTCCTCTAATGGCTTAATTTTCAGATACTCATCATTCTTGATTGCTTTTTCTGAAAAGGACATGCTGTGTTAAGTAGTTGAGTTTCCTGAGTGCCTGGTGTGGTCTGCTTGGCTCACTGTGAGGACAGGATCTCACTTTCCTTGGTTTCATCCCTGACGGGTTAGGAATGAGCCTAAGCGTTCCTTCTGTCTTCTCCGAACCCTGTCACACTCTTGGCTAATGTTGATCTTGTGGTCAGCCCAAACCACAGTCCCTTTCCACAGAAACTGCCAGCCAAGCCAAGCCTTCCTCATTGTATCATTTTACCAATGATTGATTGAACCTAAAAGTAGTCCTTTACATTGATGTCTATGATTTTTCATTATGTAAAAAACCTATAGAAGCAGCTTGATTTATTGGCAAATAAATCTGCATTTGTGACATCCCTGGTTGTTAATGCTGCTTGAAGCAGTGTTTTCGGAAGTATGGGACCGCCTGTGATGAGTGAGGGCATTGGGAGCAGTTCGCACTTGTGGCATTAAATGGCTTTGAATCCTACAATGAGACAGTCAGACCCTTTGCAGGTCACATTCAGTGAGTGTGGCTTTGTGGAGGAGAAAGTATTATTTTAGTGCCAGTGAATCTTTAATATATTCTTACTAGCAAATCTACCTTTTCAGGAGAGAAAAAGGCACAGGTGTTACCAGAAAGGGGTCCCCATCGAGACCCCAAGAGAGGGTTCTTGGATCCTGCACAAGAAGTAATTTGAGATGAATTCATGGAGTAAAGTCAAGGCAAGTTTATTAAGAAAGGAATAAAAGAATGGGTACTGTATAGGCAGAGCTGCCCTGAGGGTTGCTGGTTGCCCATCTTTATGGTTATTTCTTGATTATATGCTGTACAAGGGGTGGATTATTAATGAGTTTTCCAGGGAAGAGGTGGGCAATTCCTGGAACTGAGGGTTCCTCCCCATGTTACTTATTTATTTATTTGAGATGAATTTCACTCTTGTTGCCCAGGCTGGTGTGCAATGGCGCAATCTCAGCTCACTGCAAACTCTGCCTCCTGGGTTCAAGTGATTCTCCTGCCTCAATCTCCTGAGTAGCTGGAGTTACAGGTGTGCACTACCATATCTAGCTCATTTTGTACTTTTAATAGAGATGGGTTTCACCATGTTGACCAGGCTAGTCTTGAACTCCTGACCTCAGCTGATCCACCCATATCAGCCTCCCCAAGTGTTGGGTTTACAGGTGTGAGATACCATGCCCGGCCCCCATTTTAGACTATATAGGATAATTTTCTGATGTTGCCATGGCGTTTGTAAACTGTCATGTTATTGGTGGAAGTGTAGCAGTGAGGACAACCAGAGGTCACACTCACCACCATCTTGGTTTTGGTGGGCTTTGGCTGGCTTCTTTATTGCAACCTGTTTTATTAGCAAGGTCTTTATGACTTGTATCTTGTGCTGACCTCCTGTCTCATCCTGTGACTAGGAATGCCTTAACTTAATGGGAATGCAGCCCAGCAGGTCTTAGTCTTATTTTATCTAGCTTTCTTTCAAGATGGAGTTGCTCTGGTTCAAACTCCTCTGACAGAGGAGGTGGAGGAAGGGCTGGAGGCAGGGAGAGAGAGAGAGAGAGAGAGAGAGAGAGAGAGAGAGAGAGAGAGAGAGAGAGAGGAAAAGAAGACTTCAGTTTTGTATCTTCTGGACATGACAGTTTTTAAGTAAAAATAATATTCTTTTAGATTAGGTGATAACACACAATAATGTAATAAAATTTCCTTTCAGATTAAAGCTATTGAAGTTAAAAAATGAATTCATTTGAAGAAATAATAAGGAACGGTTTTGATTTGAATTTTTCTTTTATTAGTTGTATGATCTTGAGTAAGGTGCTTAGTACTTGCCATTTCAGTTTACTCATCTGCAAAACGGAGATAAAAGTATGTACCTTAAAGGGAAGTTGTGGTGATTATGAGTTAATATGGCCAGGTGCAGTGGCTCACGCCTATAATCCCAGCACTTTGAGAGGCTGAGGTAGGTGGCTCTGTTGAGCCAAGGGGCTCAAGACCAGCCTGGGTGATATGGTGAGACTGTCTCTACAAAAAATACAGAAATTAGCTGGGTGTGTTGGCTTGTGCCTGTAGTCTCAGCTACTCAGGAGGCTGAGGTGGGAGGATGGCTTGATCCCAGGAGGCAGATTGCAGTGAGCCAACGTTGCCCCATTGTACTCCAGCCTGGGTGACAGAGGGAGATTCTGTCTAAAAAAAAAAAAGTCCATTAAAGATGGTTAAGAGTATAAGAGTGAATTATTTTTTGAGAGGCTGGGTGTCTTTATTTTTATCAGTCTAACAAACATGTTCTACGTGCTGAAGTATTTAGTGTTCTAGGTTATAGAAATAGAAAGAGGAGTAACCCATATTGTGTGAATACAGTGAACAAAGTTCCCATTGTTTTTCTCCCAACTCTGCATCAGGGAATTATGTGGTCCCTGGCCTTGGGTTGTTTGTTTACAGTTGGCCTCGTTGGGTCAAGGTGGGCCTTTTTACATCAAATCTGAGCGAGGTGCTCTTTATTGTCATTCTGTTTGGCCTTTCTGCCAGTTTTTGTGTATAAACAATACAAAACAACAACAACAACAACAACAACAACAACAAAAACAAAAACACCCCGCTACGTGCGCTGAGGCCTTTTATTACCTTGGAATTTATTTCCAAAGGAAATATCAAGGACAATTCAGTGGAAGAAGAATTGGAAATTTAAAGGTGGCTTAAACAGGCATCTATTTTTTTCTTCCTCTGCCATCTCATGGCTTAAATGATAAAGTCTTCTCAATTCCTGGATGAGCAATAGAAGTAGACAAGGCAGAAACACAGGCATGGAGCAGGTATCCCATGGTGAACTCTACAGGACTTGAGCTTTCCCAGTGATAGAAAATGTTTTATGGGGAGATCAAAGGATCCCGTGGTCAGCCAAATTTGGGTAAGACCGGCATATGTAAAGCTCAACAAACTTATTTTCGTGACTTCTCTCAGAAGGGTTTTATGGACAGAAATTCATCAAGATGTGCTACAAAATAAATAATAACAATTAACTTTTATTTAGCACTTACTATGTGCCAGGCATGAATGTGAGCAGTTTACATACATTAACTTGTAAATTCCCACAACAATTTTATGAGGTAGGCATGGCTGTTTATTCTCATTTGATATATGAGGAAACTGAAGTACACAGCAGGGAGGGGCAGTGTGGGATGCAGGGATTCCTAATCAAATCTGACCAGAGACTGGTTTAGTGGTGCACCTTTCGTAATTAAGAACCCACCAAACCCATCTGGGAAACCTGCTCTAATCCTCTAAGCAGGCTGTGACTTCAGGTAGATAATTTGGGGATGAGGGATGGCCCCACTTTGATCTCGTTTTGTTTGAGTGTTCTGATTTCTGCCCTAGAAATGATGGCTTCTCCTAGAATCCTTGTGTTAAATAAATTTATCTCCCAATAATATTCTTGCTTGATTTGATGCTAGAAATTCTTGAAATGGGACTCATGTATCTTAAAGTGACAGGCTTAATTTTCTAATTTTACAGTCTCCTGGAGAGGGAGATGCAATCTATTGCTGTAGACCAACCCTTCTTAATTTGGGTATTTTAGTAGTTTCTCTGGAAGGTGAGAATTTGATATGTAGAAAGGGAAGACATGTTTGAATAGGGCTTGTGATCCTACTTTAGTCCAGTGAAAGAGCACTTGATTAATAAATCATTTAAATCTTCCTAAAGTTAAAAGGATGGAAAACGCCACTTTTTAAATCACAGTTTTAAACGCATGTCAATTGGTAAAGAGCCGTAATGGCATTTTTTTACAGATGGTCTTAGCTTCAATTATTCATATATCTCCTTGAATTATTTTAGTATTGCTCAAGTGATGAAATAATGTTGGATAAATTACTGTTTCTGCTCCTGTGGACAGTTGAGTCTAATACTTAAAAGACACTTTAATTATCTTCTGTTAATATTTCTCTTAATGTAAAATTCAGGTTCATTGATGCTGTAAGATTAGGTGCTCATACTTTACAGTTTCAGAGCTGATGCTAGTTGGAATTGCTTCTTTGTGGTAATGAGAAGACAACACTCTTTTAGTCAGGTTGTGAATATGGAGAGAGCTGTATTTGAGGCCCAACATGTTTTTATTTTATTTTATTTTATTATTTATTTATTTTTACAGAGGAGTTTCGCTCTTGTTGCCCAGGCTGGAGTGCAATGGCACAATCTTAGCTAACCACAACCTCTGCCTCCTGGGTTGAAGTGATTCTTTTGCCTGAGCTACTCGAGTAGCTGGAATTACAGGCATGCACCACCATGCCTGGCCAATTTTGTATTTTTAGTAGAGTTGGGGTTTTTCCATGTTGGTCAGGCTGGTCTTCAACTCCCGACCTCAGGTGCTCCTCCCATCTCAGCCTCCCAAAGTGCTGGGATTACAGGCGTGAGCCACTGCGCCTGGTCTGAGGCCCAACATGTTATTTGGCCAAATGAGCTTGTGTGGTGCAATCCCTGTACGGCTGTATAGGATTGGCCAGCCTTATCTCGTATCTCCCATAACACCCTTAATATCTCCTTGTTAATTCTCATCTCACTTAAAGTTACCAGTTGAATGTCTCTCATTCTTGCTAGAGGGTAGACTCCCTCAGGTATGGGCATATATTTGTCATATTTACTCTAAGGACAAACACAGTGCTAGGTGCCTAGTAGGCTCTTTATGATGTTTATTACTTAAGATGTTTTTTTGGGCCGGGCGCAGTGGCTCAAGCCTGTAATCCCAGCACTTTGGGAGGCCGAGGCGGGTGGATCACGAGGTCGAGAGATCGAGACCATCCTGGTCAACATGGTGAAACCCCGTCTCTACTAAAAATAAAAAAAATTAGCTGGGCATGGTGGCGTGTGCCTGTAATCCCAGCTACTTAGGAGGCTGAGGCAGGAGAATTGCCTGAACCCAGGAGGCGGAGGTTGCGGTGAGCTGAGATCGCGCCATTGCGCCATTGCACTCCAGCCTGGGTAACAAGAGCGAAACTCCGTCCCCAAAAAAAAAAAAAAAGATGTTTTTTTGAATGCTAGCTTAACATTTACATGCATGGATGGGTGGATGGATACATATGGAATGGATAGAGCAAGTATAGGTCTTACATACAAGAATTAGAAATCTTTTGTCTGGGGCATGTGATTCTGGGATGTTGGAGTCAAAATTGCAGGCCGGTATGGAATAATCAAATTTTATCTAAGCACTTTTAAGCCCTAAGGGAAGCTATAATTTGCAAATCTCCTCTGTTTTGAATCTCTTGTGTTCAGCATAGCCAGATGTTCCTGTTATCAAGAAAAAATGGTGTGTTTTCCTATTATGTGTAATCCTGCCAGAGTTTCTCATAGACATAGTTGTAAGTTAGGTCTTCTCATGGCTATTGGAAGGGGCTGGAAATACTCCAGTGGTTATTATTTGACACAAACCTGCTAATCTTCCGAATATCTGGTTATTCCTGTCTCTCCTTTCTGTGCACTGACTTTCTTTGGCGATGAAGTGCTGGCATTGCAATACTCCATTGATTCATTGTATTCTTTTCCCAGGTGTAATCGTTTCCGTGGGCTGCTGTAATAAAATACCACAAACTCAGTGACTTTAAAACAACAGAAATGTATTCTCACAGTTTTGGAAGCTAGAAGTCTAAAGTCAAGCAGGGCCTTGCTTCCTTTGAAGGATCTATGGATCCTTTCTTGTCTCTTTCTAGCTTCTGGTGGTTTCCAGCAATACTTGGCATCCTTGGTTTGTATCTGTGTCACTCCAATTTCTGTCTCCTCTTCACATGGCTGTCTTCCCTCTGTGTGTCTGTATTTCTGAGTATCTGCTCCTTTCTGTAAAAGGACACTAGTCATACTGGTTTTAGGGATTACTCTGATTGATTATGACCTCAACTAATTATATCTGCAAAAGTCTTGTTTCTAAGTAAGGTCTGGATGCTAAATAAATAGTGTCCCCTAAAATTTGAGTCCACCACAGGTTCCAGGTGGACCCATAATTTGAGGGGACATTATTCAACTCGGTATACCGTATTTTAACTCTTGCATTTAGCTGCTAATGCATGAGTCTAGGTCTAGGCTCTACTTTTTTTGTGTGTGACCTTGTACAAGTCATTTAATCTCTTAGAGTCTCTGTTTTTATATAGGGAACTAATAATAGTACCTGTATCTTAGGAGATTTTGAAGGTTAAGTGAGTGATGCAGATAAACCATGTTAATACAGAGCTAGCACATGGCAGATACTTGATATACTCCTGTTACTATTGTTCATTTCTTTCATATCTAACCCAAATGCATTTTCTATATATATATTTTTTTCTCTCTCTCTGTGTGTGTGTGTGTGCACGCGCGTGTGGAGACAGGGTCTCATTCTGTTGCCCAGGTTGGAGTGCAGTGGTGCAGTCGTGGCTCACTGCAGCCTCAACCCCCTGGGCTCAGGCTAAATTTCTTTTCTGATTTTCTTCTGTGTTCTTTTAGCTTTCACTAGCAGGCTGCAGACAATTGTCAATCATTTTGATTGATTCTCCTTTGATTGATTATGTGGAATGACATTTTCTTGAGGAGGAATGGATGAAAAGAGAGGTAAGAGCTTCTGTGTTGTGTTTCTGTGTTATCCTAATATGGTGGTAAAGGTCTTAAGAAAATTATAAGTCAGCTGCGTGTGGTGGTTCACTCCTGTAATCCCAGCACTTTGGGAGGCCGAAGTGGGTGGATCACTTGAGGCCAGAAGTTTGAGACCAGCCTGACCAACATGGTGAAAGCCCATCTCTACCAAAAAATACAAAAATTAGCCAGGCGTGGTGGTGCGTGCCTGTAGTCCCAGCTACTCGGGAGGCTGAGATGGGAGAATCACTTGAACCCAGGATGCAGAGGTTGCAGTGAGCCAGGATTATGCCACTGCACTTCAGCCTGGGCAGCAGAGTGAAACCCTGTCTCAAAAAATAAAATAAAATAAAATAAAATAAAATAAAATAAAATAAGTCATTGGTAAAATGTAGATTTAAGAACCTTATCTTCTCAAATCAATTTTTTGATTACACATTGGCCTAAGCAAAATACCATGTAGTAACTTTCTTCCAATATGACAAAACACTGTTAAATAATTCTGCGGTGGGTTGAAATGATAGTAAAAGTCAAAATTATATGTTTGAATTTTTTGTGCAGTTATAATCTGAACTGAACTCAGTTTGGCAGTAGTAAAACTGCAGCCCATTTCCATTTTGTTCTTACCAAATGTAAATGTTGTCATATAAATTAAACCCATTGGGGCAGGATAATTTAATTAATCTTAATTTTCATTTTCTTCTGAAATGTGAAATTAAATAAAAATTGTTAGGAAAGTTTTTGGGAAGGGGAAAAATGGGCTAACTTTACTTGTACTGTATTGTTTTAAAAATATTTCTGAAGTCCCAGGAGAGAGTGAAGCTTATAAATATGGAATGCCTTGAGGTGATTGAATCTCAGAAAAGAGAGATTAGGTTTTCACCTGACACATATATTATAACCTTAAAAAGAGGTGGTTCAGGATTAGAACTTTATATGGTGTTTGTGTGTGACTGTCGGAATTTGTTGGAATATCCAATATGTTCTGTTCCCCCCACTGCTTAAAACTAAAAAGAAGATAATTTTAGAGCCACTTGTTTTTAATGTCACCCTCTTTAATGACTGTCACAGGGGTCTTTGAGAAATTGAGGGCACAGTTTCAGGTGCTTAGCTGGAGGAAAAAAGTAATAGCAGGATGTAGGTGGAAAGCAACACATTTAGATGGCTAATATGTGTAAACGAAGTCTGCTTCCTTCTGTATGGGCCCTAAAGGATGTGAACAGGACTGTTGGTGGTAATTTGTGATGTGCACAGCTCCCTAAAATAAGTGTGGCTGCCAAGAAATGTGGTTTGTTCACTGATTGAGAGCTCTCTAAATCTAGTCTGGGTCACTCCAAGAAGTTTGTGTGAATTTAAACATCGCATCAGAAGTTAGACCAAGTGACCACTTAGATTTCTTTCATT